TTTATGTATGCAAATATTTTGGGGGTAAGCTCATAGCTGTCATCAGCTTTACCCCAAAAGGTAAAGGGCCTTTTGTACAACCCGGCTTTCTGAGAGTGCTCCTTACAACTTGGACCGTCACTCAAGGCTTCACAAGGCGGGAGGCAGCGCGTGAGGGCAAGGCTTCCCGGGAGGCATCGGGGAAAGACTGTTACACTCAGAACCGGAGACCTGGTGCGACCTCGCCTCTCTCAGCCTCGGTAACACGTAAATCTGGGAAATGGCAATAATTGCAGCTTCCCAGAGTGCATCGAGGACCGTGAGCTTTATTATTATTTTTCTGGCTCCCTTTGTATCTCCATACCTCTCGGTGCTGTGCTTGACTCAGATCATAGTGGACACTAATCAATATTTGATGAATGTGCGAGTTAACTGAAATAACAAACGTGAGAGGGCTTTGCAAACAGCAGAGCGGGGCCTCAGCAAAAGATCTTTGCTTCTCAGTACGCGTATTCTGTGCTTCGCAAACAGCCTGCATTAAGTGTCTTCTCCCCTTGAAACTGACCCTTCCCCCCGTAATGGGACTCAAAGGGCCAGCCCATCTGACGGAGCGTCTCTGGGCTGGCCAGCTGAGTGATAGCTGTGCCGACAACACTGGCGAGATACGCAGTTGCCTAAGAGCTCGGAGGTGGCCTCACCCTCCAAGGGCTTGGCCTCTCGACCCCAGCCCCTGCTGACATGCACGCACCTGCAGCCCTTCTCTCGCTCCAGGGCGGGCAGACTCCCTGAGCTCCTTTGCTGTCCTCGTTGGCACTGGCAGGGGTGGGAGGCACGTCGAGGAAGGGGCATGGCAGGCCTCTGCTGGGACTCCTAGCGCGGAAGCAGGACCTCTAATTGCATCCCCTCTGTGGCTTCTCGGGACGGTAGAGACAATCGAGTGCTCCTTTGTGGAACATTGTTTGTATCTCCAACCTCCTACCCACATCTTCCCGTCCATGCCCATGCCAGGAGAGAACGGGTCTTCTCTCCGTGTTCTCTCTCCCGTGTGTCGCCCACCAGACAAATGACTCATCCGCGTTGCCATGACCCTCCAAGGATCGTGGGCCGGTGGGAGTGGGAGGGACTTTTAACAGGCGTTGGTTGATGGGACCAGCGTCCTCAGAACAAGTGAGGTGCAACTGAGGGAGCAGCGGTAGAAGCTCCGGCTGAGGAGGAGAAGCCTGTGTTCCGGATCTTCCACGTGGGGATGCGGGGCTTGTCACCCATCACTCTGAGCTTCAGAAATCAGGGTGGTGCCAGCATGACCTCTCAGGGTCATCGTGATCATGAAAATGGATGATGACGCTTCAAGTGGCATAAAGTTGTTCACACCTGTTATTACCCACGCATAGTGAGCGCACCAGGACCGACGTGCAGAGCCCTCACCATGTGCGGCACTTCCCCTAATGCAATCCCCACAGCAGCCCTCCCTACGGGATTGGGTTGTTTTGCCGGTTTTATGGGTGAGGAATCGGAGGCTCCGAAGGGTAAAGAACTTGCCCAGAGCCATGCAGCTAATGTGTGTTCGAGCCTGCACTTAAGTCCAGGCCCACTTCCACCTCCACCAGCTCACGATGCTTCTCTCCTGCATGCCGTTACGTTGTCTCTTAAAATTCTTGCAGACTCCTCTGGCCTTCACCACCTGAACCCACCCTCTCACCGGAACCCTTCGCGCTAGAACTCTTGCTGGAGTTTCTTGTTTGCTTACTGCTTGGGCTTCGGCTGTTCTTCTTGGCCCTGCTGTCAGCCTACCTGCCCTGACCTCTAAGCACGGGGCGCACCAACACTGACCGAGCACCTTCCTGGAAGCAGGCACCTGGGCTTGTGAATCGAGGGGAAAGGGCTATTCCCTTCCCTTCCCCGGGCTCTGGGACGTCTCTGCCCATACAAAAGCCATCGCCTCAGCCCTGACAGTCCGGGGAGGAGGAGCGCCCACATTTCATTGTTGATCCCCCCTCTGGAAATCACTAGGCATGATTTCCCAGGCAGACCCTTGAAACGATGCTTCAGATCTTGAACTTGGCAACTAGGAGTGAGGCGGCGGTAGAGAGCATTGACTCCTGGCAGGAACCTTGCTTAACCTCTTCCCTCCTTGGAGACAAAGAGTTATTAGCTCCACTTCAGAGATGGGAAAGGGAGATAGAGGGACTTGCCTCACTTCGCTTAGTGAGTGGGTCATGGAAGGGAAAACTTATGTCATCAGTCCCTGTGTGTCCTTGGGCACCAGGCACCTCTGGGTGGTTGCTATGCTGGCTGAGCATTGGCTGTGGGCTGGGCATAGGGCGGGCCCTTGGAGGGCTGTCACTCAGAGTACCCCACCACCTGGCACCTCACTCCCAGACCCATGTCCTGACCCTACCTGATGGTCAGAGAAGGTGCTACAGGGCAACTCCTCACTCGGGGGTCCTACCTGAGAAGCTGGTCCCGGGGCACCCACTCCCCAGGTGGGTCTCTTCTTGGGGAGATGCATTCACAGATGCTACCAGCTCCCCCAGCATCAGGCATCTCCCCGACAATTAGGCAAGAGATAAATCAAAGCCCAGTGTGGCTGATGACATTCAGGAGCCAGTGGTGACCCCTGCCACACATATAAATCCCAGCGGGCTGGCCGGGGCCTTTGTCTGGGCAGGAGAGCTCGGGACTATCTGGCCCTCTTTGCTGATGTATGGAGTCACTGACTGTCGGGGTGTTTACGAACGGTTATCACCTCAATGCTGCGGCCATTATCAGAGGCAGGGCCGCCTGCCGGGGCCAGGGCTCGCACCCTCTCTATTACCACCTGTCATTGGCAGGGAGTGTGCGCTGACGCTGCCCAGTCCCGGCTGCCGCGGGGAGATAGTTTCTGACGGCTGATCAAAGAGGAGCAGCAAGGCCTGATAAAGAGTGTGCGTCGCGTGTACTTTTAACTCGGGGAACATTGGCATTTGCATTTTCCCCCCATCTTCCTGGTGCTGGCAGGAACCGAGCCCAATAAATGCCGTGGATTCGGTTACCTAATCGCCGGGGAAATGGCATGTGCTTAAAGCAACAGAGCAGGACTGTAATCTCTTTCCAAGAGAGAGTGGATGAAATAAGCTTTCACAGAAGGCTCGCCGTATAATAAAGCAGAATAATTTAAATGGGGACTTTGAAGTGAGCCTGCGTTAGAAGCTGGCCCTGGCCCTCGGCAGAGCACCATGTACGTTTTGGAATGTGGGAGCAGCTTCAGATTAAGGGGAGATCTTTGCTGAAGGTGCTGTCACCCAACTCTTGCTGGCACCCCCCAAATGGGGCCCCAGGTGTGCTCAGCCTTTGGCGGCTGGGAGGCGACGGCCATGGAGCAGAATGAGTTCTCCAAACATCAGAGATCTCAGTTCTTTTATTTATATTTCTCAATTACAGTTTACCTTCAGTAGCATTTTGTATTAGTGTCAGGTACACAGCATAGTGATTAGACAATCATATACTTTATTTTTATTTATTTATTTACTAGAGGCCCGGTGCACAAAATCCGTGCACGGATAGGGTCGCTATGCCTGGCCGGTGATCAGGGCTGATCTGTGGGGCCCCCGCTGGCACCACCCGCTCACCAGCCCTGCCCCCCGCCTCCACCGCCGGTCACCTCCCTCTGCAGGGTGACCGGCAGGGGAATGGGGAGGGGGGGCCCGCTGGCACCTGCCTTGGCTGGCTTGGGGCCTGCGGGGGAAGGAGGGGAGGAGCTCCTGCGTTGAGCGTCTGCCCCCTGGTGGTCAGTGCATGTCATAGCGACCGGTCATTCTGCCAGTTCTGCTGTTCAGTCGATTTGCATATTAGGCTTTTATTATATAGGGTATCTTTATTTTAATTTATCTTTATTGTTGAAAGTATTACAGATGTCTCCTTCTTTGTTTGTTTTTCCCACTGACCCCCTCCACCCCGCCCCTGCCCCTCCGGGCTTCATCACTCCACTGTCTGTGTCCATGGGCTGTGTGTATATGTGTATAAGTTCCCCAGTTAATCACTCCCCACCCCACATCCCACCCTCATCTTCCCCCTGAAATCTGTCTGTCTGTTCCAGGCTTCTATTTCTCTGCATCTATTTTGTTCATCATTAGATTCCATATATGAGTAAGATCATGTGATAAAGACAATCCTATCCTTTACCCAGTGTTCCCCCTGATATTTCCAGGACCCACCTGGCACCGCATGTAGTTGTTACATGGTAATAACAGATATCTGAGTTTTTGAACCAGGTCGCCCACAAACGTGCTGTTGGATTTGGGGCCATAACTTCTCTGAAGTTCAAATGTAAAATGAGGAGGTGTGGTATGGGATATAGTGGTTTAGAAAGTTTAAGTTTACGCTTTATAACTCCTGTTTTAATGAATCTTAAGGGAAGCTGTATGGTATCAAACAGAGACAAGTAGAGGTGTTTTGGTTGAACCTGGGAAGGAGGTTCGCTGCCCTTGACCTAGTCCCTAGGCCTGGCCAACGATCAGGGCCGATCTGTGGGACCCCCTAGTCCCTGAAGCCGTTCCTGGAGACTTCAGAAGGACCCTGTCGCTGCTCAGAAAACAGTTGAAAAACCACTCACCCAGCGACATCATAGAGGTCATTTCCTGGAGGTCTACACTTTGACCAGTGGCATAGCTGCTGCTTGCTGTCCTACACATTCATGGTGTGTGTGTGTGTGTGTGTGTGTGTGTGTGTGTGTGTGTGTTAATTAATTTTGAGAGAGAAGCATTGACTCATTGTTGATGCACTTATTGATGCATTCATTGGTTGGTTCTTGTATGTGCCCTGACTGGGGATCGAACCTACGACCTTGATGTATCAGGTCGATGCTCTAATCAACCCAGCTACCTGTCCAGGCCCCACGTTCGTGGCTGGTAGTGCTCTCTTCTTCGTCTGTCCTGGAGAAGAGCTAACTGGCCCCTGGACAGGGCAGGGAGTTGGTGGTGGGTAGACAAATAGAAGGGGCTCTGCCAGCATGGACTCAGGGTGCCATGTCCCGTGTGCTGCAGGTACCTTTGACCGGAGCGTGACCCTGCTGGAGGTGTGCGGGAGCTGGCCCGAGGGCTTCGGGCTGCGGCACATGTCCTCCATGGAGCACACCGAGGAGGGCCTGCGGGAGCGGCTCGCCGACGCCATGGCCGAGTCGCCCAGCCGGGACGTGGTGGGATCCGGAACAGGTAACGTGGCATCACGCTCCTCGCCTGACTTGGTCACGACTGGCACCTGCTGGCGTGGAGCTTCTTTGGCGGGAGAGGGTGTGTGTTTGTTTTAACTGCTTGTTTCTTTAGTTAGCTCTCTGATTGCTGCCCCTGGGGAAGCTCCCAGGGATGGGAAACCCTGTGGAAAGGGGAGTTCCCGGTGGAACGGACCCGTCCTCGGTGGAATAATTCATACAAAAAATTGTCATGAACGTAGTATTCTGTGAGTGGCTCCCAGAAGGGCACCTTCTCCAGGGGAAGGGACCACGTTGGCATCTCGGAGGTTTTCAGCAGCCCTTCGGCACTGAGCGCTTAGGCCATACCCCTGCTCCTGCCACGCTGGAGGCTTCCCAGAATGGCAGGTATCGGTGTGCCCGCCACCTCAGGGGGGAGCAGGCATGAAGCAGGCAGGGATGGTTTGAGCCCGCCAGACAGTTTTCTCTTATGCTGCCTTTCGCCCTTGTCTTGCCTCTGAGAGAGCCCAGCAACAGGCCCGGGGTGGCTTCCCGCATCTGTAGAGCAGGCAGAAGACATCCTTAGGTGATGAGTGAGCACTGCCCCAGCAAGCAGGTGTACACATGCACGCACACACACGTGCACGTGCACACACACAGAGAGCACGCACTTAGAAAAGACCTCCATCTCCACACGGTCACAGGACAGCCTGCCCTCTTTGTCCAAAGCACCTCCTCATTCTGGGTATCTGTGCTGTTCGTGGCTGTGGTAACCCAGCCTTTATGCCTGAAAAAGACTGCCCCCCAGGCTGCTTCCCAGCTTCCTGAGCTCAGCGGGAACGCGTACGGGGTCGCACAGGTCCCGGCGGCAGGCCCTCCCGCTCCTGCTTTCGTTTACTGTGAACTGCCCCGTCCCTGCTCCCCACGCTCCCTGGAGAGAGGATCCCAGAGAGGAGGAACTTACAACCCTGGGGCAGGGACCAGGACCAGCGAGGTGTTGAGGGTCCAGGCACTTGGGCAGGGCTTGAAACGCCTGACGCACGTTATCCCACAGTCTCACTTCCCGGCGGATCCTCCGGGGCATTTGGGTACCAGGGGTCAGCAGTTAAGCTTTTCCCGCTCTTCTTCCCCCTCCCGTTTAGCCCCTGTGTTCCTGCACGAGGAGGAAAGACACTGCACTCATCTCTCTCCCCACAGGGCTAGCAGCGTCCTGCCCGTAGTGCTTGTATACTGATTGGCAAAGGAACAGGATGGAGGCAAGAGAGGGCGAGAAGCGGCTTAGCTAGAGGCACCAAGTACCTGCTCAGGCCCGGCAGACGGCCAGCCGTCTCTGAGGCCCAGCCTCCTTCCACGCCCCTTCGCCCCTGGAAGGGGAGGACGGTGCCACGGCACGTCACGTCCACTCCCTCGTGCAGGTCCAGACACGTGCGCACCCTCTCGCTCCCCCCACCAAGAGCTCCCAGCTGTGGCAGCTGCTCACCGTGCCCTTGTTCTCCCACCTGGGCCCACAGGTGAGGGGCAGCTCTGCTCTTGCTGGGGCTTTCACCCCATTTTCCTGGAAAGTTGGCCGAAGCCAGGAACACTTAGGAACACTTTCCCCTTCTGAAGCACAGCCTTTCCCCTGGATCTCTGGTGAATCTCTGGGGCCCTGGCCGGCCCCAGTTCACATAAACCAGGGTGACTCCCGGAGCTGCCCTTCCAGGGGCTGGAGCCGCTGTGGGCCGGCTTCCTCCGAAGCCCCTTGGAGCACCTGAGAGCCAGCCAGCAAGCGGATCGGAGGTGCCTGCACTCGGGGTGGGGACTTCAGCCTGGCGCAGACAGTCAGTAACTGAGCAAAACTGGCAGCGAGCCATCTGCCAGACAGCTGGGGGCCCGGGGAGACTCTGTGGCCTTAAGCAGGTTCATGAAATTAAAAAAAGAAATGAGAGAGGAAATTAAAACGGAACGACCCAGGGGTCAAAAAAATAGGAGACGCCCTTTTAAGGCAGAGGGACCGCATGTCCCGCCCCCAGCTGCCGCGGAGGGGATCCTTCGGGCCTTCTTGGGCCATGTGAAGGTGCGCTTCATTTCCCAAACACTCTGCCTTGGCGTGCAAGGCCAGCAAGTAAAGCAGAGAGGACGGAAGTTAGCCTGGTTCCCTCTGCCATTGCTGGGAATCACCTTTCACGGTTTAGAACTGCAGACGAAGCATGGCCGGCGGGGCAGCCCAGCCTGGACGGGGCAGCGAGCACTCCCATGCCCGTCAGCCTGCTGCCCAGAGGGAGCCGGGGAAATACAGTGCCGTGTGGGGTGGGAATTTCTGGCAAGTCACCCTTGGCCGAAGCAGCCTCTCTCTCTCTCTCTCCCCCCCCCAACCCTGCTTCTGTGGGGGGCGCACAGGATAGGGGACAGCCAGTGTTTACCTGTCAGGCACCAGAGATGGTGGTTTTAGTGCAGCCACCGGCCTGCTGGCCTCTTACCAAGGTTGCATGGAGCATGCTCTCATGACCCCTGGCCCTGCAGCCCAGTATGCCTCGCTCTTCTACAGGTTTAGCTAGTGACTCGCTGGTAGAGGTTTAACACCCAGCTCTCCACAGGGAAGCGGGAAAAGCCCTGATTTGTAACATTTGGGGATTGCCATCGTGTAAACACTCTATGGCCAATTTCAAGCTATCAACATGTCAGTCGTCTAGCAGAATTCCTGAGAAGGTGACATCAGCGTATTGGTTTATTAATTACCCCAGCACCCCGCCGCCGGTGAGCTGTCCCATAGTGCAACTTGGCTCTCCCCCCCAGAACAGCAGAGCCTTTCCAAACCTTACTACGCAGCAGCACCATCTGCACCCAGTTGCTGATCAGAAATGCGGAATCCCAGACCCCACATCGCCCCGCTGGGTCAGCACCCGCATTTAACAAGCCCTTGATGTGAGAAAGTCCGTGTCAAAACACGGCGAACCTCTGAGGCAGTGTGAGCTCTGGCCTCCGTGACGGCTGCTGACCACTGAGTCTAATTAGGTCACATGTGCGACTGGCCAGTCCGGCTCTACAATAACCGGCTGGACTGCTTTCTTGCTAATATCATTACCTCCCCCCCCCCCACCCCCGCCACCCCTGTTTACGCTTCCCTTGTCCCCATTCAGCAGAATTCCAAATTGAGGTCAGTCAAACTCTGCTCTCACTGCGGTTGCTGAAGGAAAATCACAGACTGGTCAGATTGGTGCCCCGGCACATGGGTGTCCTCCCCTGTCCAGTGAGCCTGGCAGTCCTGTACGTCCCTACCACCCCCTTCTCCTCGTCTCAGGTTGCACGCATCCTTTGCAGCAGAAACCAGTGCCTAGAACAGGGTCCGGCCGTTCGTGGGTCTGCAGTCACTGCTGAAGGAATGAATTCTCCATTCAGCCTAAGCCCATGGCCAGCAAACTGCGGCTCTCGAGCCACATGCGGCTCTTTGGCCCCTTGAGTGTGGCTCTTCCTAAGCCTTAGGAGTACCCTAATGAAGTTAATAACAATGTACCTACCTATATAGTTTAAGTTTAAAAAATTTGGCTCTCAAAAGAAATTTCAATCGTTGTTCTGTTGATATTTGGCTCTGTTGACTGATGAGTTTGCCGACCACTGGCCTAGACCTTAGCCGTCCCGTGACATCCCCTGCTTGCTGCTGGGGCACCCAGTCTATTTTCATCCTCTTATTGACTCCCCGGGTCTCTGGTCCTCTAAGAGCTTGTATATTCTTTTTAACTTTTTTTTTCATAGAATTGCTAGTTATTTAGTAGGACTTAATGTGCTGTTTATTTAGTGGGGTACATAGCTCAGTCCATCACCTTGAAATCAGTCTCTTTCCTTCTTCACGGACACTATTTCAAACTCTCCTCTCTCAAATCTCTTCCCCACCATCGTGTCTCTCGCTCTCAGAAAATGGCTCAGTGGTGGCCGGCATTGAAGAAACCTCTTGAGTTCCTGCACTCAGACCCTAAATGTCCCTGCAACAGCTTTCCTCTCTCCTCCAGTTTCTGCCCCGAGCTCACCCAACTGCCGCAGCCACTCGCCGGTTTACCTCAACACTGTCAACCAAGTCCCTGCAGCCCAGCACCGGCCTGTGCACACGCCCTGTGACCTTGATCTTGCTTTCCCACGCTCTCCTGGCTTGATGTCTGCCTCGGGCCACTTCTCAATTCCTGCCCTGGGTTTTCCTCATCTTCGTCCTCAGTGTATTTCTCAAGGCCTCTCTCGGCTTCTTTCTTTTCCCTCCGTCAGTACAGGGCATCTCCACTGCTCCTGTAGCTGCTAATGCCATCTACAAACTGATCGCTTCCAAGTAAGCTCCCAGTTGGCTCTCTCTCCTGGTCTCCAGTACCATCTAGACCAGCGGTTCTCAACCTGTGGGTCGCGACCCCTTTGGGGGTCGAACGACCCTTTCACAGGGGTCACCTAAGACCATTGGAAAACACATATATAATTACATATTTTTTATGATTAATCACTATGCTTTAATTATGTTCAATTTGTAACAGTGAAATTGGGGGTCACCACACATGAGGAACTGTATTAAAGGGTTGCGGCATTAGGAAGGTTGAGAACCACTGATCTAAACAGTCACCCACTGACATCTCTGCATCCACAGCTTGAACCGCTCTCCCCTGCCCTGTCCTTCTCCCGGGCTCGCCCACCTCATTGTGTCCAAAGCCTTCGAGACCAGCCGCTGCCCTCTCTCCGGCCAAGCCCAGCTCCCCGAGGGTCTCTGAGCACACGTGTCCTCTCCACCTGCCTGGCCTCTGCACATACCTCTCCCTGGGCCTGGAATGCCGGCTCCCGCAGCCCCCTCCTCTCCCTCTCACCCCCCTCAAAATAGCTTGACTAATTCCTGCTTAGCAGACATTCCTTTCAAAATTGCCTTTTGTAGAAAAGTAGAATTTTTTAAATAAGCAAAACATTGACTTTTTCCAATTGTTTTGTGTCTAGGTAAAGATATAACCGCATATCCCAAAAAATTTTAATAAACACCTGGATACATATTAAGTACATTTTCTCTTTAGACGTTAACTCTTT